TTTTTCATTATTTATCTTCCAGTATCTCTAGATCAATACTCTCCAATACAACTTTCTGTAACGATAGAAAGTTCTATATCTGCATTCTCCAATATGATAGCACTGGCCACATGAGGCTATGGAGCACTTGAAATGTGCCTACTGCAACTAAGGAATTAAATTTAATTTTATTTAATTTTAATTAATTGAAATAGATGTGCCTGTAGCTACCATAAATGGATAGCACACCTCTAGATTATCTATTTTGTTTGATTCTCTTTTAATAAAAATGAGGCAATTGAAAAAGAATTAAAGCTTTTTAATCAATGGAGAAATTAAAATGAGGCTTTAATGTCAAGGTGATTAGAGACTTTAGCTATTCCTTAAGGAATTAATCAGTAGTAAAGACAGGATACTCAGTTCTGACCCCTGCAATTTTAAAGAGGCAAAGAGAGAAAATTCAAAATCATATTCGCGAGAGCACTGGTATATTCCAAAACCACCTTTCCCCCCAAAGCAATAAATTTGGGAAAAAAATGAAATGTTGTAAAGTTTCCTAAGAGAACCCAGTTTTGTCAGTCAGCAGTTGAGAATGGGGCTCTATCATTTGTGCCTAGTTCTCATGTTCTATGAGCAGCAATAGAAGCTCCAACATTATCAGAGGATTTCAGCATATGAACTACTGATATCAATATAAATACCTGGAACCCTTTTGGTTAAGCACAGAGACACCATCATATTACCATATCCACAATAAAAATGCATAATTTGGTAAATTTGGTGTTGTTTTCCCCTTATATAGTTGATTGTAGAAGCAATTTGTGCTAGTGTTGGAGAAGGCTGGTTATTTACATAACTTCATAACCTCATTAATGGTTTTTTAAGCAGTAAGTACTCAAGAAACCACTTACTCTTTGGATGAGCTCTTGGTGAAGTGAAAGAGAAAACAATATTCAAAAATGACTTAAATCAATCAGCATTTAAGATGCAGATCAACTTTGGATCTAAATAAAGGCTTCAAAATGGCAATTAAAACAAGATTTATAGGTCAGGTACAAACTACATACCAGCAATCTGTAACAGGACCAAGATTCCTATTTAATAAAAAGGATAACCAAAGCCAAAGCCAATTCGGTCCTCAATATACTTACCAGAGAAATCAGGTGACTTCGGAAAAAGTAACAAATAATGCATGCCCACAATTGTATGACTGTGGTAGTCCTTGGGAATTATGTGTAATAAATCCCTTACATCTTTCAATCCATATTTCACTAGTAGGGAAGTAAAAGTACTTTTGGAAACAGCATTTGTATGTGTTTTTTTTAAAGAACATATTTCTACAGAGACTGTAAACCTGGACATTTTTTATTCTTTCACAATTTCAACAGAAAGCTGCTAGTAAAATTTGACACTAATCATATTTCTAACAACCATCTGCTGGTATCTTAAGCCAAATTAAAAAAAAAAA